AAGTAATTAAAGAACAGTACTCTTCCATAGGCAGTGGAGCCATTAGGCCTGGGTAGGCTCAAGTTCACCCTAGACTGGCTGAGGGTAAGCTTCAGTAGGCTCAAACTTGGACAGAGCAAGGCTTTTGTAGGATCTATTAAATGTGAAGGTTTTCTATTATTTCTAGTTTTCCAGTTTTTCTGGCAGATGATACATCGTTATAGAGTCAGTGTCAGCCATAGGCGGTGGAGTCATTAGGTCTGGATAGACTTAGCTCTACCTAGACTGAATATCTAAAATACGTTCATGCACTCCATTCTACATAAAAATGTTATATTATTGCTAAATTTTCGTTTGCTTATAACGCATGATATATTATTACAAGATCAGTTTATTCTGTATCTGCTACCAACCATAGGCGAGGGGACCACAATGGCTGAGTAGGTGAAAGCTCATCAAGATTCAAGTTTCATAGGCTAAGAGAGACTCAAACATTTGCTTCTCACTCTATCAGATTAACAAACTTGCGTACTGCTCGAAAGTTTTTGCTGCCATCAGCGGTAACTGCTAACATTTTTAGGGAAAAAACTGAGTTTCGTATGACTAAGTGTTGCAACGTACATTGATAATGAGTTCACGTTATGCTCTTTTGTTACAAATGAAGAATCACCTTACAGGTTCCTTACAATCATATCTGCTGGATGATGTCGAAATTCTCTCGCCTTTCTGCAGTTACTCTCAGATGCCAATCAAAAATTTTCAACACGCTGAACAAACCCACAATGAGATTCCTTTTCTGTGAGCACTCCGGCGTCGCCATAATTCTAGTTTCCACTAATACAAATCAGAAACTCTTCCCAATGTGCAGCTCATGAGATAGGTTCAGAATCTAACAACTCTAGTTCTGAGCCTGTGTTTGAAATTTCTCTGTTGACCAGAGTCAGATCTGGATTCAGGCACAAATTCTCGAATTCAGACCTGATAGGCTCTAGCAGCACGTAAGAACTAGTTAAAACTTGGTTATTACGAGATTATCGTCAAAATTGTTTGAAAAATGTGTAGAGTGTGCTGGTTGCCCGAAAAATTAATAAAAAAAAATGTAGTATCTTTGAAATAATTATCAGATTGAGAATAAAAAACTTGCATTGAGAGTACGAGCACTACGAATCCGGCTTCGGATCCTAAAATTTTGCATCCGATGGACTATATTTGAGGGTCACTATTTAATGAAAACAAGAGTTTAAGTAACTCTTTGAATACAAGCTTTTTGACACAAGTTGCAAACTCACCTCTGATCTCTGCTAATGTTATGCATTAAAAAATTTGAGTTCGAAATAAATAGTATTGATTGTATTTTATTTGAATGACATAGCATAAAAAATTACCCTCTCTATCTTTAACCTGTCAGTAAGGCTCGTATAAAAATATTGAGCCTACCCTAGATGCAAAACGCTCCGCCGCCTATGAATTCAGAGTACAGTATTTTAACATCATAAACTTTTGTCTCATTGCAATATCATCATGCATGGCGAAAATTAATCAGAATACAAAATGATATGAGGAAAAATAGAGGTAATCAAAAAAGAGAATGGCTTTAATCAGCTCAATTGTCGATGCAGTATATACATATTGATGATGATCAGAGTTGGCGCGAATCAACCAACATTGGGGGGTGTAGCGAAATTTTTTGGATTAGAAAGACGAATTTTGCGATTTTTGGGCGGTGTAACATTATCTGTGGTAACAAATGACAGAAAATTCACTGATCTTGTTGAGTAAAAAAAACAAAAATTTTTGATGATTGGGGGGCGGGGTGACACACCCCCCGGTCGCGCCACCCCTGGATGGCATTCATCGAAAGATTTACGTATTCAACAAAAAACTCTTAATAGTAATGAAACATTATTTAAAATAGATTAGTCATATTTTCATAATTTATATTTGAATGCAAGTAATGAAAATGGTATAGAACATCAATATGAACTATTAAAAATGCCAATACCAGTCGAACGAAAATTATGGCCTGTTAAAACATCTAATTCAAGGTTTGCTGGCCTGTTATTGATTTTCAATTATATATTGAAAAAAACAACAAACAGGAGATACGATTGCTGTTAATTAACGTCAAGGTGAAATTCCTTCAAATATTAATTGAACATATGGGTGTGGGTGTGAGTGTAGGTGTCGTTTTCAACCACACCCACACCCACACCCTTTGACTTTGTTTCTTTTTATAGTAAAAGATAATTGGAGTCTCTCTTCTTTATTATTAATATTAGAATAAAATTTATCAACGAAAGATTTTGTTTTTGTATGATTATAGATTTATTCAAGAAAAGAATAATGCTTATTCTCACTTCTATTCAATTTATATATTTTTTTAAAAAGTTTTAGACGTTAAATTCATTAGAATTCCGGATTTCTTAATAATAAAACTTGAAAACAACACGTTAATTAATAGGTTTTATTTAAAGAAGCAATAGTAAGCTATGATGTCGAATGAGAAACTAGATACATTTGTATATTAGCCATTCAAATAGAAACAATTAAGAATTAGGATGTGAATATTTCGATATATGTTCTTGGTTTTTCATCAGTCGACATTGATCCCCATATCTACATGGAGTTAAATGAGTTTTTGCTACATCTCTGAAATGCATTTTTGTTAGTGTATTGTTTTCTAAAACGATTTCAAACAGATATTTTTGTATCAATAACTACACATCGTTTTAAGAATTAACTTTTAATTGAAGGTAATGATTCACCATGAAAACATTTTTTTCGATGATTCGGGGACTTTTCATAGCAATTGTCTTGATAACGACATGGAATAAGATAATCAGGTAAATTTGAATGACGATATTGTGCACGATGTACAGGATCTATTAGTTGGGAACAATTTTCATCTTCTGAGCATATAGAAACATTATGACGTTTGTGAGCAAGATGAGGTTCACTATCCTTATTTTGACATAGTTCATTAAAACGGCAAGGATGGGAATAGTTGTTAATATGATCTTTCAAGTTCTGATTCAGACAATACACAGAATCACGACAAGGAGGCAATTTTGATGAAACCTTTGATGGCGCCTGTAATGTCGTTGAGTTGGGTATTGGTGGATTAGATCTTGGTGAATTGGATATCGATGCATTAACGTTTATAGAAGAACAAAATAAAGCGTTCTTTATTCTTTTGAAAACAGATACATTTTCTGTTTTTGTTGCCAGTTGAAATGAAGATGCTGCCCGTTTTATATTTGATTTAGGAGTGCTATCATTAATGTGTGCAGCAACAGTAGAAGTATCTATTTTAAAATCTTTATCAAATGATGGCTGCAACTCAGACATTGGCTCATGATTAGTCATTAAATTACGAATAGGAACATCTTGATTTCCTGCACTTACATAAATAAAATCTATTCTTGATAAATCTATTTCAGATTTACCAAATCGATATTGAATCTTTTCATGATTGTAAATACCATTCGGACCAGCATGGGATAATATTACTTCTCCTATTTTGTGACTAATTTTCAAACAAAACGTAAAAAAGTCATCAGTATTACAACCACGATAGAATACATTTGATTTAGCTTTAAATTGATTTGTATGAACATTAGTTTCATGTTGATATGGTCTACCATCATTTAAACATGAATAGGCTTCATGATAATCTTCTGTAACTGTCGATGGTTTTGCAGCAACATAACATATGAGACATTGAAGATTAGATTGATCTTTGTCTGGACTTATCTCTTCATTGGATATTGTTAACATCATATTACCATGCATAGCTTGCCAATAAATATAAGTCAATTCAGGATTATTTGATGTTTGAGCTTTATCAAGACAATATAATGTATTTGATTGAGAAATAGTTATTGGTAAAACAATCAGCTCTTCGAATTTTGAGGCTGGAATTGTAACGGCAATGTCATGTGTGATTTGTGGCTCATTGAGTCTTTGTTCAATTTTTTTAAATATTTTATCAAGTACAAACTTTTGATAAGGTTGACGAGTTGCATCTAACGGCATCATACTGCCTGGTTTAATTAAATTAAGAGGGAGTCTTTAAAAGCTCCTTTGGCTGATTATTGAGCTTCCGGAGTCAATGATTGAAATAGATTTTTGGACATAAACACATATTCGATATAATCTAATGGAATAAGTTGTGGTAAATGTTCTTCAAATACTTCATGTGAGTCTACATTCATCTATCGATCAGCAATATCCGTAAGAGTAACATCCATTGATTGTTTATTTTTACCAGTTAAAGCCATTAATTCTGTAGCTGCGGCATATTCATAACGAGGAATAGAACAATGTAATTTCGAATTATGAAAGTTTGTAACACGTTTGTCTGCATTACCTGGATCTTTCAACCACGGACGATGTTTGTAAGCATTTCCGCTAGGGCCAAAACTAGTTCCAGCTTGAATGGAAAAATTGGCATCAGGATGAAACATTATTTCTTTTTTGAAGACAACAATAATATCACCATAATAATGTCCTAAATGAGGTCCTAAAACGCTAAAAACATGTTTATCTGCTCCTAAACTTCGATCAGCTATATATTCCGATTGGATTTTCATGCAGTTTTATTGATTCTTGAGCAATTTTTTTTGCCCACTGATGAATGATACTTATATCATGATCAGTTAAAGGTGATGTCAGCTTTTTTCAATTAATTTCATAGTATAGTCATGGTCATCAACTAATGGAGTTGTTTCATCAGATGTTTTTTTCTTGGCAAATTCAGCTTCAACTTATGCTATTATTAGTCTAAATGCATTGTCTTTCACTGCAGGAATATTATGCTTAAGAAAAATTAAACGTATTCAACTGTGTTGTCGCACTGCTTTTGCAACAATACCTGATTGTTTTAATAAGCTCATATAATGCGTATCCAATTGAGTATCTCAGAAGAAATTTTTACTTTTTTCCAATTGGATACGTCAACATAATTATTCACAGTTCTTATTAATTGACTTTGATTACGCACAAAATTAATAGATGCATTAAGATTAGTAGATTGAACAGCACTAAGATGATTGTGATTTTTTCCATGTCGATATTTTTTCAAATGTTCATTTTTCAATCTGTCTGGACATTTAAAACCTGGTTCTCGACAGAATAGACGAATATCACGTATACCGGGATGAGAAAATGATTCTAAATGTTCTTCGTCAGTAAGTTATAAACATTTATCAATATCAGAACATATTCTACGAGCAATATGAATTGATGTTTCAAAATGTTTTTCATCTTTTGTTTTACATTGATGACCAAATGGACAAACATGTGAATATTTATAACAATGATTTTCTACTTCCGAAGATATTTTATTTGTATTTCCAGTTTGTATAAATTCAACATACATTGAACAATTATATGGCGTAAATGGGCATGGTAATCGAAATGAATGTATTGTATTTTCAAAATGTTGTTTATCATGAAATTGAATACAACAATTATCATAAGGACACATAGATTTACAATGACGAAATTCTTTACAATGATCATTATCTCTCTTGAGATATTTCGAACAATTAAATCCATCCGAACATAATGGTAAATGTCGATAAGCAAATAAATGTTGTTGATGAACATTTTGACAATTGCCTTCATCTATACAATAATCTGGATGATCATATTCACTCAGATGTTTTGGATCGTTATCATCACATTGACCACCATATTGACATTTGATATTATGTAGAAATGTAAACATATGTACTTCATCATTCATCTGTTCACATCATGATGTTGCATCTTGATACGAACATATTGGTGGATGTAAATAATTGTTATTGTGTTGAGGATTTTTAAGATCATGACATTTTGATCCATATTGACATGGTTGAAGATATAAAATACATACATCCCTTAGATTTTATTTTCCATCTGATGTTTTATTTAGAACACGATTTGGTCCACTAACTCCATTAACACGTATTGTTGTTGGTGGGTGAACATTCAAACCATCAAGTATTGTTTTAAATGGAAGAAAATTTCCATCTGGATTAATTTGATTTCCAGTATTGTGATCATCAACAAAAGCAAAATAAACTTTTTTAAAATAGCCAGCATATTGATAAATGAGAGATTTAAAAAGTAAAGCAACATGTTCAGGTGGATTTTTGAAAGCACCACAACCAAATGCTGATAATACTAAACAACCATGTTTATGACGATATGCAATAGCAAATATATTTTCTAACATTTTTTCCTTAGTTAATTCTGGATCAAGATATGCAGCCATAGCAATAGCACACACATTATATAAAGGATTTTTCATAAAAGCATATGCATTGGCTTCTGTTTGACGAAAAACAGTAATACCAGATGTTTATAAATAGCTTCGAATTCTTTCATTGGATAGTATTCATCAAATGTTGTTGATTGTTTCAATTCACATTTTGCTGTACAATAAACTCGTTCTGATCGATCTTTATCGGCAACATCAGCATCAAGACTTTGATAATAATCTGATCGACGAAATAGATTTTCTTCTTGTGCTCCATCACCTTTACGATATCCACCTCCAGGATTAGTTGCATTTGCCATATTTAATAATAATGGTCGATATCCTTCGGAGACTAATTTTTCATAAAGAACAAGACAATCTTCATTAATTACAATAATATTTGTTGATGGATATGGTGTTTTCATATCTGTTTGCGCAATTGTTTTTCCGTATAATAATTTTGATTGATGATTGTATCCAATTGTTTTCATAGGTTCAGATTTTAAAATTATTTCTTCGCCATCAACTACATATTTTTTCTTTCGAACAACACCTATTGTATTTAACATAACTGTTACTCGTAATAAATGTCGATTAAGATCATATTTTTTTGATTGTCTATCTTTCACATCTAATTTATTCATCTGTTCAATCCAAATTTGTGCATTCCATTTATAACGAAATATTGGATGTTGAGGATTTGTTATCATTGTCTTTATATCTGGTTTTATATTGAACATCTCTGTTTCATACCAATTTTCCGCATTTATTTCAGTTTTATCTGGATCAGCAGCTAGAGTATGTGGCACAATTTGCATCATAATGTTGCCGAAACGAAGAGCTCCAACTGATAAACAATTATCATAACAATTCATATCATCAAGTTCTAGAATGAGATGATCATTAATCTGATGATTTGCAACAATTCGTCCAAATAATTGATGTTTAAGAATTTGATCGATATTAAAACCCTCAGGCACAGGAAAGACAAGAACACGATACGCAAGTTTTGTCTTTTTTGTTATGTTTTGTCCATTGATGGTTAAAACACTTTCTATTATCCATTTTTTGTTTGACTGTGTTGCTAAGACAATTGCATTACCTGTCTGCTTATTATATTGCACGTAAAAGGACGTAGGTTGAAGTTTATTTTCACCAATTTGATTGGCAATGGCTGATGAAATTTTTTCATCGTTAGTATATGGTGGTAAATCTTCAAAATAACTACAATCAGCACGCAAATAAACAGTAGCAAAGGCACTTCCAATTTTAAAATCTGGATTTTTAACTGCTTTAACAAGTTCATCGAATGTATTCAGAGAGAAACGAAAAATATTTGGAAACTGAACGGATATCTGTTGACATGGACGAAGGTCTGCTATTTTATATACTTGCATATAACGACGAGCCACTTCGTCAGCGGTAGGAATTTTGGATATATTTCGATCGAGTACTATATAAGAATCGAGATCGAGCTCGTCAACGAACAATATATTTGTATTATGTTTCACGTCGAGAACCATTGATTGAACATTAGAAACAAGATGTTTTTTGTCTTCTTCATTCATTAATCGAATCACAGCAACACCGAGATTTGAATAGCATTTTATATCACTTATTTTGATACGTAGATTTTTATCCATACGAGTTTGAATCATTTCCTCAAGTTCATTTTCTGATATGTTTGTTGGGATATTAGGTATATAAACAAGTAAATCATTATTCGAGGAAGCTGTTTGAGAAGAATGTTGGTTATTTGAATATTTTACGTGTGGAACTTGACCAGATGTTGAATTGGATAAACCTGATGCTTGTATCGAAGATTTAGATTGAGGACTATTATCATTCATATTTATTCAAATTAATCCGAAGTTCAGATATGTATAAGAATAACTAATAAAAAGCAAAAAAATAAACCATTAGAATTTCATAAGTTTTAAATTATATAGTTGTTTGATAAATAAAAATCTACAAAGACTTTTGTGAAAGAATTCAACACTCAAGTACATGCCCATATAACATTGAGCAAATCTGCACAGAGCATGTCCTCTGAGAGTATTGTCTGAAAATAATTCAATTTATAAAAGAAAGATAATCGAACATGATTAAGTTCAAAAGAGAACAAAAGAGTTGTTTTATATTTTATAAAAACCACTGCAACAAACGTATTGAAAAACAGACAAATGTTCAAACAAAACTGGTTAAAAACTACTGATTAAACATGAGTTTTTTCTTGTAGTCAGGTTTATTTCGAATATGGCATGAAGAATTTTTCCTTTGAATAGCATAAGAGATCGCGAAACATTTTATAGTCTCCTACATTTGAGATTTAGATGAAATAATTTATAGAAAAAATATCAACTGTTTTGTCTATAAATTTATGAGCTTGAACGCATTTTATGAAAACTATCATTCAATAAAAAAGGCAACAAAATAACAGAATAGTTGATAAAGGAACTTGAAAAAAAACGAAATCATGTATAGATTTTGCAAGTGTATAACTGTCTAATTTGTAATAACATTAATATTTCATTTCAT